ACCCCCGCCCCACTTCGCGTGAGTTACTGCAGCTTGACAGCTAAGAGATCGTAATAAGGGAGTATGAACGGCAAAAAGGCGCGAGGGCCCCGCGGCTCTTGATAAATCCTTTCCAATCGAATTAAAACGGGAATCGATACACTTCTGCGCGGACTATCCCCTCCCCCTCCCCCTACCTGCGGTCGGAGCCGGCTATTCGCTTCGGCAATTACGGGAACGTATTCATGCGTGCTGGACATTCGACAAAGGATGCTGTTGCAGATCGACGATTGGTCCACGATCGGGCGTGCCCGGGAAAGTGTAAATCGATATTACCCTGTCCAATTTTTCTGTCCCGCCATCATAACATCCATCAAGCCGTATCGTTCAATTGACCGACGAACTGCGGGAAGGGAAAATGTCGATAGAGAATTCAACGCATGCTTGTTGCCCTCATAGTAGGCTGAAATAATGTTTAACACTTAGTCCTGGTTGCTGTCATATCGATACACACTGCATTAATTCAATTAATTAATAGGGATGCAAGCTCATTAATAATTTTATATTATCATTTTTGGTTCCCTGCAATGAATATTCGGAAGGTACTATCCACATCAAACAAAATTCGTGTTTCCCGTGAAAGGATGATGTTTTCGTTTCCTTGTTTTATATAAAAGAACTAAATTAAAATAACATTAAAACATAATATTTAAAATAAATGACGTCGAACTTCCTTCAGTGATTTAGCAGTCAAACTTTGACACTAAAAGGTTAACTCAGAAAACACACAGAAGTAAATGGTCTGAAGATGTATAAAAATATTTCAAGCGTTGCTGATGGATATTTTTTTACAATTAACATGGATATAAAAATACTGCCCTTTTAAAGGTTTCATCAGTATTGTTATGCGTTCGAACAGAAGGTAGACGAAGTTGAGAAAATTGCCCAAAAAAGAAAAACATTATATTTATTTACCTTCAGACAAGAATGTTAGTCATATTAATCACCTTTTCGTTTTTACCATCTCATTTATATCTAAAATAAAAGTTTTAAAAAGTAAATCGTGTTGACGACTCTTATGAATTGTTTTCAACAATAATTCCTTTGTATTCTCAAAATTGTCAATCTCTGTTCCTTCACTTTCACACACATTTACTGAATAAATTATACATTTTAATTTTATCAAACTATTTACATCAAATTTCTCAATTATTGTAGGTATATAGCATCCAGATATGCCAATCACTTTATCTAATTTCACTTTTAATCTATTGCTTACGGAAGACCAAATCACTTTTGGGGTTGCCAAAAAAAATAGGAAAAGTGTTTTATTAAAAAAATAGAAACATTTAATTAAAATAGAATACCTATCGATAGAAAATAAAAATTACCTATCGATAGTACAGTAATTCATTATTCATGTTAATAACATTTCTACAGTCATTATAAATATATTTTGTTTTATTTTCGTTTAAGAAAGACTTAATCGATTGTGAAACAGAGGATTTGAATTTAGCTATTTTTCAAACCATTGCACTTCGCTGGTTTTTGAAATTCAGTTTTTCATTTGAAAATTCTCCATTCCAGTTTTATATCGAAACAACAGCATGCATATCTTGAGAAATTAACCAATACCTGCGCCTGGAGTACATGGATATTATAGAAGAAGCGATATTAATGTTAATAATACCGGTTATTGACCTTTTAGTGAAAGCACAAAAAAATGAGCGTTGAATAACACGTGATTCTTTTTCTCTACTGCAAACGAGCTACAAAGCTCCGTTTGACCAATCGTACGTTAAGTACCTTAGTATGCATCATCGATCCCCCGGCCGGCCGGCCAGCGATTTCAGTGACGGCCTCCTGAACGCACGATCGCAACGCGCTTTCAACTGTCTCAACAATCGGGCAAGCGACGGCGGCGGCGGCGGCGTACGCACGCGATGCAACGGGGAGGGGGTAGGGGCGGGTGGCGCTGCCCTTCACCAGATATCTCACGCAACCCGTGCGGCGCGGTGTGGCTCGACGTTCCGCAGCGCTTTGTATATCTGCGGCGGAACGCCGGCCTGGGCTGGGCCGGGCCGCGCCGCGCCGCGTTCTCCTCGCGCACGCAGTCGCTTATCTGGGCGCGGTGCTGTGCGTGCGATGGTGGGAAGGGGGGGGAGAGTGGGCGAATGAAGGGCCGTCTCCGGCCGGTGACGCACGTCGCTGGCGAGGTAGGGGAGCGGTTTGTGCATTTCGTGCATGATGGTGATGAGCAGAGGGGAGACTCGACGTGTGTAGTGGAGATGGATTGGTTGGTCTTCCGAGGGTGATAAGGAAAATGAAGATGGATATTGGTGATCTTTTAAATGTACTATAAAGATTTAGAGCAACAGTGTGTGTACCGGAAAGAAATAAGGCAGAAAATTTAAGAAGTTGGTAAATGGTTATGTATACTGTGCATTTTAGCAGATGGGAGAACGGAGAAGCTCAGTGAAATTAAAGATTTTAGATATCTCATAAAAGAAGGCTCATAATCTTGATCTTTAAGTATTACTCTTAGAAGTGGTAGAAAATACGACGAACATTTCTTCGTTTTCTAATGGTTCAGAAACAGATTAAACAAGTAATTGGCGTGAATGATAAATTATAAAAACGCAAAATTAATGTACATCACAACGACAAGATCACACGATTTACTTTACAATACATTGACTATTCATTTCAACATTTCTTTGATATTATTACGTAAATACTGGAGAAGTACCCTAAGAAACAGTCCACGGACCGCGAGTATCTCTTCTTTCTCATCCTTTTCCTATCTTCTGCACTCGCTCATATGCACAAGTACTAGACTCTTAAACGTCACAGGAGACCAAACAAGAGCATTAATCTGATTTAGATGCGTCGTTTTGACGAACGATTGAGGACTTCTGGCGAAAGCATGCTTGTGCAGTATGTCTTCTATTCTGAGGTTCGGGAATTAGCGCATACGCGAGTTTTCTAAACCCGAAATAGGTCCTAAAAAATAAGCTTTTTAATCGGGTCTTATAGTTTGTTCCGGGTAGGACGGTGCCCCGTTGGGGAGATACGTGGAGTGGCAATGCCGACGTGTAGGTTGTCGTCTGATCTAACATTACAGTGAGGTAGGTTCTCTACAACCTTTCGGAATGAAACATGCGTCATTTAGGTGACTGATGACATTAGTAATTGTCGCGCCAGAAATAAATACTCACTAAAGAGCGACCAGCTTAGGTGGATCAGGGAAACAACTTATGTCACTGCAGTGTATCTCTCCGGGAGACACTATGTTTGAGTCCAGACGGTTGCAGGATTTTCGACACTAGCTACGTAGCTATATCGAATTCATCCTCTGTCTTGAGGAGAATTCTGTCGGCCGCTGTTCTGATCGAAGATTTTCAATGGTTTCTCCGATCAATATCAGGCGAATGCTGCAGCAGTACCCTAACAAACGGACCACGGACTGCGCGCTATCTTCCCTTCTTCTTCCTTGTCCTATCCTCACCCCTTCTTACATACATACACGTACACACACACACACACACACACTTACATGTGCTACACTACCACACATGTCGCGAGACCAGGACCTAGCAGCTTATACCGGTTAGGGTGTTCCCTCGCTGGAGGAAGATACCTGGTTGGGGAAAACCCGCTAGCCGACGTGGTCTGCACCAGCTCTCACCATCAAACCGGTGAAGATCCCCGCCTCCTTCCGAGGAAAAAAATATGTACCACACTTATGGGACAAGTGTCCTTAGCAGTTTATTTATTTACGTCAAAAACAGTTAAGTTCCATTTACGTCCAGAAGCAAAACAAGGGGCCTTCTCAGCATTTGTTCGAGGATCAGGGAAACTGGACGAAAACCTGATCGAGATGGGGGTCATTGACCCTGTTGACGCGCCCGAAATAATCGATGAATGAAGCACCTAAAGAGCGAGCGCTGAGGCGGAGCAGCGGCACGCACCTGTAGCCCACCATCATGGTGAGGACGACGGCGAGCGCCACGTAGGTGGAGAGGGCGAAGACGAGGGCGGCGAGCGCGCGCAGGGCGCGGCCGCCGGGGCTGCTCTGCGGGGCGTCGCCCAGCGCCCCGGCGTAGCCCAGGAAGCCCGCCGTCAGCAGCGCCGCCGCCGGCAGCAGCTGCGCACACCGCACACCCGCCAATTAAGCGCGATTGAACCAATATTACAAAATTATTTAGAGCACTGTAACCTCTACGCAACTATATCAATTGAATCTCTAATCTGCATTGTGACAATAAGAAATCAAATGCATTGGGGAACTTTTTTCTCAATTTTTTGGGAATGAGGAATTTAGAGTTTAACGGGTTTCAGAAATAAACGATTCAATTAAAAAGAGAAAAGGACAACGTATTCTCACTCGTTGGCGAATTGGCCAGTCAAAATCAACACAGAAATAATAAAATCAGTTCACAGGATTGGTCAGTTTGGGGTAAAGAAACATTTAATTATGTCAACGTTTCGAAATAATTAATTTCTTCATCAGGGCTTACTAATACACATTTATTAAGCCCTGTAGTAAAGAAATTATTAGTTATGCCAAAGTTTCGAAATATTTAATTTATTCATCGGGGCTTACTAATGCACATTTAGTAAGCTCTGATAAAGAAATTAAATATTTTTAAAAATGTTGCCATAACTAATTGTTTCTTTACGCATACTGACCAATCCCGAGAACTAATTTTATTATTCATCATGGTCGTGATTTCTACAATGGTTAACACAGAAATATCTACTAACCAAAGAAGGTCCCAAATCATGTCATTGCTGTAAAATTACTACATATTCTAAAACAATGGCCAGAAAATAATCTTCTGAAAAGAAAGTATGTTATGCGTAATGAGAACTTACTGAATGACAATATTGAAATTCTTAAAGTAATACAGTTTTAAACGATGTAAGTTTGTACAATGATTGTATTTAAACTTACTCATTATGTTATGTAACTTGTTATGTAGGCTTCAACAGTAAACAGCTTGGTCGCTATTGGCCGTGTTCATACGACCTTCATAAATAAAGCATATTAAAAAATATGCCCCTAGCTCGTCCAGATCCAACAAAGATGGAAAGCACTTTAGTCCAAAAAAATGTATGTACGTACGTATTTCGGGCATTTTGGGTCGATTGTCCGACATGGACGGTTAGTAAACGGTGTCCCCATTCCTGGGGGATGAGAGAGACATGTGCCGAACACGACACATTTCCTTCACCGTAACTAGCAAACTCCCCCTACATCAACTTTTCTTCGTTGATAACTCAGACTATTTTAAAGGAAAGCTACGACTAATTTTGCCTTGAGCAACCGCTACAAACGCAATGGATAATGTAGTGAAGAGAGAACATAAGAATAAATCATAATTTATTCTCTTCAATCCAAAACAATTTCTTTTCTCATTTTTATTTCAGTTGTTGGAATTCTAAAGTATTAAGTTTACGGAAAATTGAAGTACGACGACTGAGAAGAGGCTTCATATTTTGTAGCTTGTGCCATTAATCTCTTCGTGTACCTCAACAAAAAGTTGTTATAATTTTGAGCAAAGACAACCATAAAAAGATTTTTTGTCATTTCTAGCAATTTTTTCTCTTAGAATGCACTATATTTGTTCATTCTATAGCACCCATTTCTTAAGCACAATACACAATACGCTACTTAAAAATATTTTGCTTGAGTTTGTGAAAAATGTTTCGAATAAAATTTGTATTACGAAGGACGTTTTTAAAGAAAGTCGGATGAAAGTTGAACGTTACGTAGCGAAAATTAAAAGAACCAAAAGTATGTTTAGTTTTAAATTGTAGACATTAGCGCACCATTTCATTCATGGAGATGTGTTTTAATAGTACTTTATAATATTTTCAGAAGGCATATATCGTTCTGTTTTTTGCATGACATTTAGAAATGAGACCGACAGATACGCTTTCTTTATGATTTCCCAAGTGACGTGTAAACGCAGTCTCTCATAATTATGCAGGTTTAACTGCTACTTCACTCGTATCTAGTAATCACGTATTAATATTACAACATAGAAAATGAAAAAGCATCTTTACAGCACTTTTTGGTTCACAGACAAACACATTAGGATATTGCATTTTCATTCACACTGTCAATTATTTTCTGAATAGACAAGGTTAAGTTTTTGTGAGCTTCATAAGACTTCAGTCCTCGAGGTAATATTAATCAGTTACATGCAGTTTTCTTTGAAGACTTAGCGTGATGCGTTTGCGCAAATTT